CAGTCGGGGCCGTATTTATGTGATTTAGGAATCTCAGGATATGAGGTGCTCGTAGCGCGAGGGCCAATCACGGGAGCGGGAGCGTAAGGTGTGAAACGCTCTGATGCTGAGCTGGAAGTTGAAGGTCGAGACTAGGTCGGCAATCGTACCCCTACATCCACTGCGTAGACCTAGTCTCTCGGCGTAGCTGGCTGTACGCTGATTGGCTGGTAGGCGCGCGGCTGGAGCTCAGTTGGGAGTTGTATGGGAGAGGATCCACTACAACTTTCTACATGACCGCAAGCAGTGTGTGGTGATTAATGGCACGAAATCGTCATCCGTACCTGTCACAAGTGGGGTACCACAGGGCAGTGTATTGGGCCCGCTGTTTGTTTGTTTGTTTCATAAATGACATGCCTGACGTTGTACACTCCTCCATACAAATGTTTGCCTTTGACGCCAAGTTATTTCGGGAAATTAAGAACCAAGCGGACTGTGAAGAGCTGCAGAAGGACCTCTGTGAGCTCCAAGAATGGTCGAAGAAATGGCTGCTGAGATTCAATGTCACGAAGTGTAAGAGGATGCACCTGGGGCGTCCTAACGGTAAGGAGGCGTATCATATGTCCCAACGGGATGAAGAAACTGCACTAGTTGAGACTGAATGTGAGAAGGACCTAGGTGTGTATGTTGACAATGGGCTGAAGTTCTCGGGCCATTGCGAGAAGAAGGTAAACCAGGTAAATAGATTATTGGATCTTATAAGAAGGTCGTTCAGATATCTAGACGGTCCGTCCCTCGTAACGATCTTCAAGAGTGAAGTGCTTCCCCATCTGGAGTACTGTCACCCCTTCTGGTTCCCGAGATATGCTAGGGACTGTCAGTTGGTTGAAAATGTTCAAAGGAGGGCCACCAGACTGGTGCCTGCACTTCGGCACCTCAGCTACCCTGAGAGATTGGAGCACCTGAACTTGCCTAACTTATGCTACAGACAGGCAAGGGGTGACCTAGTTGAGGTGTATAAGCATCTCAGGGGGCACTACTCAGTTGAGTGTCCTTACTTGGAGCTGGCCTCGCCCCACAAGGGGGTCACAGCTCAAGATTGAAGAAGCCACAAGTTCAGAAAACTGTGAGGGCAAACTTTTTCGGAGTGAGGGTTGTAAACTCTTGGAACAATCTACCAGAGAGTGTTGTGACGGCACCGAGTGTGAGCTCTTTCAAGACAAGACTTGACCAACACTGGAGCGGGTTCAGGTACATTCAGGAGCCGGTGCATACCCAGTACTTGCCAACAGTGCGTGACAGAGACGTGACCGATCGCCCGGGCGGCTAGCGAGCCGATCTTTTGGTGAAGAGGATAAATGAAAAGGAAAAGTAATCAGAGACGTGACCGATCGCCCAAGCGGCTAACGAGCCGATCAGTGGCGAAGAGGATAAAAGTAAAAGTATCAGTATCCATATATCTGTAATAAACAGAATAAACAGGAATTACAAATTAAGAATGACTAAGCTTCAAGTAGCATGATTGGCTTAACACAAATAAATATAACATAACATAAGAAATATAAGAGAACTTCAAACAATATAATCTTGAGCACTTAACCAACTAAGCATAACACATCAGTATGAAAATCAGGCTACGAGCTCATTTTAATTTACTAATGCCAACTTGTCAAATTCGGCAATTACTGAGCTGTCAAGATGAGAATTAAATTGATTTCTGGTTTCAGAATGGCTGTCATTGTGGACGAGGCTTATAACATACCGTCTCAACTTACTCTCCGTTAGATTCTCAAGATAAAACGAGTGACACTTTCCTTCATGATAATTAATTACTTTCGTAATTTATATTCTAATAGCAATTTCACTATGAACATCAGATTCTCTGATGTTCATAGATGAAAAAGAGGTGACTTTAGCCTTGAACTAGAGTTCGTAAGTTCACGAGAGACAATAAACTCACTACCTCTGTTGACGGGTATTCAAAACAATCTCTTAACACGGATTTCTCTACACATAAAGGCACAAGAAAGCTTCAAAATATACTCGATACACCTAGAATATTTTCTCTTACGGTGGCTATATATCGTTGACTGTACAATAAATTCATTCACTCACAATTTCAAATTCATGAACGCCCTATGAGGTTGTGGGGTTTTTGGAATGTTTGGTTCACACTCAGGATGGGTTGGAGAAAGGAAACTCACAATGTGCTCTCTATATACATGTTGTATTGGATGTACAATGCAGCTTGGTGCTGGGAAGGCAGCATGGTTACAAGCGTGATGTAGAGGATGCTCAGAGGAGGACCAGCTTGTGGGTCGCCATGTTCGCCGGCGGGAGCGAGGACCGCCAGGCAGCGGCGGAGGAGGTGGTGTAGCTTGCTGCGGCAGTAGCTAGAAGAAGAGAGAGATCACCTTGTACTTGTATTGGGGATTGCTGGCCACTCCGCCTTTGGGCTATTTCGGCCGGAGCTGATGTCTTCTTTCTTCTTGAGGTTTCTTCTTCTAGTCTTGGTCTTCTTTCTTGCTACAACTAATCTGATGTTCTTGTTTCTTCTTTTCTTGTTATTCTTGTGTTCTTCTTGTTCTTGGTATTTTGGTTTCTTCTTTCTTCTTGTTGTTTTATTTGGGATGAATTATGGTATGAGTGAGTGATATGATAATGAGTTACTGACAGACCAGATGAAATGGCCGGTCAGGTGACTAGTTTCTCTGTGATTTTTTTTTTTATTGTCTTTTTGTAGCCCGTGTCTTTTTGTTTGAATATGTGTTGGTGGGTGTCAGTTTAACTTGGTATATGTGCGTGTTGTATGTAATGGAAAGGTTTGTGATATGTCTCTCATATTGTATGTTTAAATTTTTGTTTTATTCATTTTTATTTGCTTTTTAGGGCATGGTTACATACATATTATAATTATAAAAAGAGTTCATGCGTGAGTCATTCACAACATGCCGATAAGACGGGTCTCCTTGAGGAAGATTATTACAGCGTCACTTATGGTGACATCATCTCGCAACACATAGGGTACAGTCAGCACGACGCCTCGCTCGGCAGCTAGCATCACCAGCTGCCGGCGCTC